AAAATTGCTTAGAAGAACCTGGTAGTCAAATCACTGGGAAAGAAAAAATGTACTTTGAAGTTTGAACTCTTGGGAAATATAGAAAAGGAAAGATAAACAATGAAAAAACATAAATATTCGTTGAAATACACGTAATAAATAATATTTGACCGAAAAAGATGCCAATTGAAATATGGGATAAGGTGCGTCCAGCACCCTAAACTATTTACCTAGGTGCGTCCAGTGGTCTAAAATAATTTTGGGTGCATCTAGTGTCCTAAACTAATTAAAATAGTACGTCAATATCCCAGGCTAAAAAAAATGTTATGTTTAACTATTACTTTCCTGACTCGACTTAAAGTTAACCCCAAATATTCTAAATGGTAGATATATAGACATTTGATATGTATTATTCTTACTCAAAATTGAATTTATTTCCTTCCTCTTCTTCTAAATAAATTGTCTTTTGAGTAAGAATAATACACATCGGGTGCTCATGTGTCTACCATGTAGAATATCTGGGGTCAACTTTAAGTTGAGTCAGGAAAGTAACAGTTAAACATAACATTTCTGTTAGCCTGGGATATGGACGCACCATTTTAATTAGTTTAGAATACTGGATGCACCCAAAATTATTTTAGGCCACTGGAGACACCTAGGTAAATAGTTTGGGGTGCTGGGTGCACCTTAACCCTTAAAATATTCCTTTTTTCTCCGGTTCTTTCCTTTTCTACAATTCTCAAGATCACGGATCCAAATATGATTGCTTAAGCAAACAAATAAAAATAAATAAAAAGATGCTGACTGCAAAAAGAGATTGATGAAAACATTTATGTAGTTTATGAAATAGGTAAATAAATGGAATAAGGAAAGAATCGTTGGTAACATGCAATTAATGCTTCTAAAAGATTTTTACTGAAAATATGACAAGATTTTAAGACTAAAGTTGATTTATTTTTCAAATTTTGAGTACAGAACTTGTTTGTCATTGTATTGTGTGCTGCCAAACCACCTTTTCCGTGGCAAAATGTCACCTTGGCCTGACATGTGTGTTTGTGATGGCTTATGAGGAAATGAATTTCTGGACTAAAACTTAAGGTGAAGTAACTTTTTCTTATTTTTTGCTGTTCTTTTTATATATAAACTTTTCTTTTGTTGCCTACCCAGTTCACCAGAGTTTTGTTCTGACTACATCTGAATCCGACCCGTATCGCACACCTGGCTGTGGTGGGTGAGTCCCCCTCTCTCAACAGAGATTTCTGCATACGCTGAAGCTCGAACTCAAGACCTCACTTAATCGGTACCAAGCTGTTTATCACTTGAATCAATTCCCGTTGGTTGTATATATAAACTTTTGAAACTAATATACTTGTCAAAACAGGTTAGGCTCATTGGGTCAGCTCGTTTAAGTCATTTTAAATGAAGAGTTAGGTTTGTGTTTTAAAAAATTTAAAAGAAAATTGAACTTCAACGAGTTAGCCTCATAAGGCTTAAGAAATAAAAAGGCTAGCCTTTTTAATCCCTTCTATTTCTTTAATTATAAAAACTTAATACATTATTAAAATAACTTACTACTATTGAGTTTAGGAAATAATAAATAACAATGATTTAAATTCTAATTCAAATCTAAATAACGTAATGTAAATTTTAAGAGTAAGTGAAATTTTTTTAATCAATATTAAAATATGGGGACATTGTCTACTAATCTTAGAGTTGGGAGTTCATCAACTTTTAAAGTTTCAACACTTACAACTTGTCATTCTTCTCATACTTCAAGTATTTCAACAACAACATTTTTTTATGATGCATTTGCTGTATTTATTATTTAAATTCTTTGTCAATTAAACTTGCTTAATTTTATTTGGCTAGTATAACAGTATGTAGTTGAAATTCTTTTAACGGTGTAGGATTATCAAAATAACTATATAATTATGAATCAATCTTGTATGAATAAGTTTGGACAAGAAAATTATTTAGAATAACCAATACTAAACTTAATAATTGAAAAGAATTAGATGTCTTGAATTAGTTGAAGAACAATCAAAATCACATTCTAATTATTTCAAGGATGACAGTTGATATTTTTAGCATTTCTATAACTATAATAGCCAATAAATTGTCACTTATCATTGGTTCATGTGTGCTGACGAAGTATAGAAATTCTCTTATTTAAACAAATGTTCAAGCTTTCATTTGTGCTTGTAACTGGTTGCATGATTTTATTTTAGATGGTAGATGAAATCCTTGATATTATTGTCATTGAAGAAAAACCTAATTGCAATGAAGAATAATTAAATAATTGTTGGAAGATGAATATGAGAATTATGTTGATATTGTTAATCTTTAACGGCTTGGTTTCTGTCTTTCTTATTGGTTTGTTCTATTTATGTATGGATGAAAATTGTTTTGAGCTATTAATTACATGTTATTAATGATTCTTACCTTATTCAATTTATTTACCATTTTACCTATTTCATAAACCACATAAACGCTTTCATCAATCTCTTTTTGCAATCAGTATCTTTTTATTTGTTTGCATTTGATCGCTTCAGCAATCATATTTGGATCCGTGATCTTGAGAAATATCTTTTTACCTTAATCATATTTGTTAGTATTTGATTGCTTAAGCAATCATTATTTACTGTTTATTTGATAATCTAGTATACTTATTTGAATAGCTGATTATTGTCTGATTAATATTCGAGTTAAATAATGGATGCAATAAAAACCGTAGAACCAAGAATATAATGTATAGAAAGCAATAAGCTACCAATAAGTTCTTATATGCCTTTAGACGAAGATGAAACATGTATGTTTTCCCCATTTATCTTGGGAGATGGAGATAGTACATTTAACCAAGTAAACTGGACAAATATATGTATTTAATGAAACAACTAGGATGTTATATAAATATAAATATTCAAGATATATTAAAAGTATATGCTTCATAAGATATAATAGAAAGATTACCAAAAGATGCAAAATTAGTAATAGACAAAGAACAACCAAAATAGAGATTAGAAAGATTAATAGAGTTAGCAAAACCTTTAGAACAGAAGATATATGATATAAAAACAGAAATAAGAAATCTTACTAATGAATTAACTTATCTAAAAGGAAACACTAAAAATATTTTGAAAGCTTCAGGAATAGAGTAAAAAATAGAACTAATAGAAAATAATCCGCAAATTTAAATGTTAAGAATTACGGCTGAGGAAAATGAGAAAGATAATGAGAATACTAAAGAAAAAAGGAAAAATCCAAAAAAAAAACTCTAAAATTTTAAAATATCAAATCAAGAATGACTACAAAAACATGTTGTCATTTACTTTTCAAATGTTGTCAATTATTCTTAAAATATAGTGAATAGGAGCAATTTGGAATTTTAAAATTTAAAGATTTCTTTTGGGATTTTCACAAGAAAAAAAAAATAAGATCTCAAATATTAGATGAAAATACGAAGCAAATTAGAATTATAACAGAGCAAATGGAAAAAGGACAAGAAGTAATGAACAAAAACTTGTAGACTATATTTTAAGAAATTCAAAAAGTAGATTTAAAAAGACAACGAGAAAAATATGGATATCAACGAACAATTTTTAAAGAAAAGGAACAAATAAAAGAAGTGAATCAAACAGATGGACCTAACTCTTCTTTGGTGATTTTTGGCAGCTCAAATGGGAAAAGTTGGTTTGCGTCAATTTGTTGCCTAATTTAGACGTGCCTACCAAGCTGTCCCACAGAAAAACGAAGATTATTATAAACATAAGGAGACCCCATCATTTATAAAACTAATATTGATGAATTTAATTATTATAAAATTAATTTTGATAATTTAATTATATTTAATAACTTAAATCGATATCTTAATTTAAGAGTGTGTTAATAGTTACTAGAAAAATTGATCTTCATGAGAATTCTATGAAGAAGTAACCTGGAGTTGTATGTTCAAATGCTGATAACATATGCAACGTTGACCGTCTGCTTGAGGTAACTGTTTATACTGGTCTTTTAGATTAAGCCCAATTACGTCATACAAGCTCAGACCTAAGGCCCAATAATAAGAAACCCCAAAATAAGTCATGCCTGGATTTTGGGCTTCTTTTTTTTTGTAAGAATGTATCTAAAATGAATCCTCCCCGAGCAGTTTCCATGGGCAGCCCAAGATTAGAAATAGTATCATCTTTTTTTATAATATGAAATAAATTGAATAAAAAAATAATTAAATTAAAGACAATAAATATATATAAAAATATAACTTATTTTTCTCAAAACATGCTTACCTATAAAAAATAATAATAGATAATTAATGTAATGAGATTAAAGAACGATTAATGAAGGTAAAAATAAAAAATAATATTAAAAATTTCAGACATATTATTAATATATTTTTTGGTACATACTATTAGGATTTTTTGTAAATAGGACTACGACATATTTCAAAAAAAAAATTATGTAGGATTAAAGAGAGTAATAATGATAATGATGATAAACATATAACATATCTTGAATTAATTTTGAGGAATAAAAGAAAAGAATTATTTTAGAAGCAAATAATTTAATAGATTTGACCTTTTGTGTGTCTATGTATAATTGAAATATATTGTTTTCGTTATATTCTAGTATGAAATATGATTTTATTTTTCCAAACTGAACAAATTAATTATATTTTTCCGATCCTAAATATAATATTCTTTTTATAATGTAAATTATACTATAAAAAAAGGTCTTACTAAGATATATAAATTCAGGCCCAAAAAAATAAAAAATAAATAAGGAAACAAATACTAGCGACGACCAACGTGTGGTTTTTTTTTTTTTTGGTTTTTCTTTTTTTGGGGGGGGGGGGGGAGGAGGAAGGAGCGACTAACGGCTATATTTGTGTGCGGGCATTGATCACTGAGAGTCTGGGACGTGGCTTCATGGGAAACTGGTCTCGAAAATAGCACAGTGACGAAGGAGAAGAAAAAGCTCTCTGTAACTGAGGCGATCCAAAAAACGACGTCGAAGAGGAAGGAAGAATGGCAAGTGGTCCTCCATGGCGGTGGTGCGAGTTGGAGCTTCCATTGGGGATATCAGAAGAAGCGTTCCAATTGAAGAAAGCCGTGTGCAGCCATGGCCTCTTTATGATGGCTCCTAACTATTGGGACCCTCTTTCCAACACTCTCACGCGCCCTCTCCGTCTACCTCTCTCTGGTGATCGCTCCTCCCCTTCTTCGTCTCTCTTTCGATCTGTCATCGTCACCATTGCTCAGCCGTCGCATCGTCCCAGCTCGCTCAATCTTCGAGTTCATGGCACCAGCTTCATCTCTCCTCAACAACAACATGCATTACTGGTATCCCCACTGATCAATGCTCTTGAACATCACTTGGGAAATACACACACAAATATTGCGAATGTGTTCTGCTCAGTTGTTGCTTTTTCTATTTGAACGGGAAAAAATTGATTTCAATTCGACTTGGGTTTAGGGTTACGAGGGAGTGTCAGTTATTTTATTCATAGGAAGAAAAATATCATCATCAATTTCCCTGATGTGGCCAGGCTCAGGTGTCAAGAATGCTGCGTCTGTCAGAGACCGAAGAGAAAGCTGTGAGGGAGTTCAGAGGCATATCCATGCATGGCGATGATGATCAGAACAAAAGCTTTAACGGAAGAGTCTTTAGGTCTCCCACATTGTTTGAGGATATGGTCAAGTGCATCCTCCTCTGCAACTGCCAGTGAGTTTATTACTGTCTTTCATGATCTGTCTACTGACTCCGACTTGGTGGCTGGCACACCATGTGATTGACATAATGCCGAAATGAAGATATGAAAACTTGTTCCTCAATTCATTTTATTTCTTTCTTCTGGGATTTCTTATTTCCTCCCTTTTCTTCTTATTAACAAAACACAGATTTCCGTAATAATTTATAACTCTAAAGTGATTTCTGAGATGAGATAAAAGGTATTGTGATCCAAGATGTGAGAGTGTGTATGGAAGTTGCCTCTTATATTCTCTATCTTCCTTGCTTGATAGACACTTTACAAACTTCTAATTTCAGAGGATTTCAATCTAAGAAAGTCACTGGCCATCTTTTTATGAAACTTGTAAATAATGGAATAGAAAATCTGCCGCTTCCCCTTCTACTCCAATAACGATTACTTGACTCCACTCTGTTCAGAAATCCCAAACTAACAAACAGAAAAATTCAGGTGGTCGAGGACTTTGAGCATGGCTCAGGCACTTTGTGAGCTTCAGCCGGAACTGGACAATGTGTCCTCCTTCCCATCGATTGTTGAAGGGGGAGCCACAGTCTCTAACAGTCAAGAAGAAAAAGCTGAGAATGGAGACTACGTTCCAAAGACACCAGCGACAAAAGAAACCAAGAAAAACACATAGGACCTCTGGCTTTCCTCTGAAAGCAAGTTTCTTAAGAAGAAACTGGACTTCGAAGGAGATGAAAATTCGCGGGAAGACAATGTCCCAGCAACAAGTTTGAACTCAAGCTTGCCTCCAACTGATACTGATGGAAATCCAAGTCAGCATTGCAAATCTTGTGAAAATTCAACGGAGTTAAGCACAGATGACGAATCATCTCTTGGGTTCTCTAATGGAAGAGACTATTTTGCTAACGAGGGTATTGGGAATTTTCCATCCCCAGAAGAGCTAGCAAACCTTGATGAGAGTTTTCTGGCGAAGCGATGCAAACTTGGTTATAGGGCAGGGCGGATAGTAAAACTTGCTGGAGCCATTGTTGAAGGTAGAATTCAAATAGGACTACTTGAAGAACTTTCTAAAGATGCGAGCTTATCAAGCTATAACCAACTAACGGACCACTTGAAAGAAATCGAGGGATTTGGCCCTTTTACTCGTGCCAATGTTCTTATGTGCATGGGTTACTACCATGTTATTCCAACCGATTCTGAAACGATTAGGCATTTGAAACAGGTGTTAGTGTCAAACATTTCCTGTTTTCTTTGTCAATTTGTCAAATACTCCTGATATTTATGCATGAGATGCAAATGCAGGTTCATTCTAGAAAATCCACAATCCAAACAGTTCAGAGAGATGTTGAAGAAATTTATGGAAAGTACGAGCCGTACCAATTCCTGGCATACTGGTAAGTAACAAGAAGGAAAGCAAAAACTAAAATACGGAAACTGAAAACTTTATAGTACTAGAGGAACAAAAAATGAATTTAAGCCATGTTATTTAGTGGTAGTCTTTCGTGTTTCTATAATGGACCTTTCCATGCAAGTTAATTTCCTAACGTGGTTCTCCTGTGGCCAGGTCTGAACTATGGGACTTCTATGAAAGAAGATTTGGGAAAATGAGTGAAATGTCTTGCTCTGACTATAAACTCATAACTGCTAGTAATATGAAAAGCGAAGGCACAGGCAGAAAGAAGAGGAAGCAAGCAACTTAGCATGCCAAGGCCAGCAGCAATGAGGCTTTCTATCCAAATCTACTTTTCAGGCTTGTTGCCCCTAAGCCTAATTATTTTTTTGGGGGGGGGGGGTTTGGAATATTTGGGCATAATGTAGAACTAATATATTGTTCAATGTTGTTTATAACTCTTAAATTATTAGTTAAGTCGGTGCGCATGGATGTGTTAAGACTTGAAATCTATACTATCCAAACAGAGTTTCAACCATTCAGATTTAAAATATTCAATTGATAATTTTTAAATAAAAAGTTATCTTAAAAGTTAATATATTATCTTTATTTTATATTCTATGCATATTAAAATAATATTTTTTAAAAAATAAAAGTAAAAAAAAAAATTGAACCATTCTAATTAAATCTACAATACAAAGTAACCATGCAACACAAACCATCAACGTCTCAATTATTGAATCAAATATGGAATTAAGTTTAAAATGTTTCGTGTTGGCATATAGGAAGAACTGAAGAAGTGATAACAACTCATTGTTAATCAGACAATTAATCACGCCGTAAACTTTATTATAGTGAAACTTGTACTGCCAGCTGTTTACGCATATCTTATACAATATTACAACGAAATTCTATACTCTTAGTTATAGTTAATTAGTCTCTTGAATTTGAATATATAGTTACGTGTGAGAATGAACTAAATTTAAAAATTCTTCCTGTTTAAGACATCGACCTCCCCACGCATGATTTGGATTTATTTTAATCTTTACCACTTTGTGTATATTTAGACTTATTTTTATTTTTGCTGGCCAAAAAAGATTTATTTTTATCTTATATTTTAGATTTAGAAGAAAGATTTTGAAATTTTTTCCCTCTACATTCCTTTATTTGTAAAATAGTTTGACTTTTAATTGAAATTTTAAAGGACCAAATATCACAATCTAAATTTAAAAGTACTAAATTGCCCCTAATTGAATCCTTACAATTCTTTCTAATCACATCTTTATTGAATAGAATTTCTTTTATAGTCGTCTTAATTTATGCTAAAATTCTTTGTAATCTTTTATTAATCAATATTTGCAACAAAATTTATTAAAATCAAATCAAAATCTTTTATTATTTATTCAAAATATCTTACATATCTTTTTGATAAATTTTTACTTTTAATCAAATAGACCAATACCTTAAGATATGAAATATGATGGTGTCCATGATATGTGATTATAAGAAATATAGGAATTCAGTGAGGCGTAAGTTAATATTTTTTATTTTATATTTTTAATATTTGATCCTTCTAAATAATTAAAGTTTTCGAGATTCTCTAACAAATATTATTATCTCTAGGCCATATCCCTCTAATTTTCCAATTAATCATTAATTAATATACATGCATAAATAGTAGGAAAAATGACAATAAAATACCACTTGAATTCTAAAAAGACAAATAAGGCACCTGAATAAGCAAAATGACAAATAGGGCACTGGGTACCAATCTGGAATTCATATTTTCGGCTAAAAGACCAAAATGCCCTGATGAAATGTGGGAAGACCGACGCTGAAAGTGAGAGAAAGGAGAGAGGGAGACTGACGCTGATGAAATGAGGGAAGAAGGAAAGAAGAATGTTGGAAATGCTATTATCTTACTCCTTCGCATCACCATTCTGTAGAGATTGTTGATTTGGTGGGTTTTGGTTGTGCGAAAGAGGATTTGTAGTGAGAGAGGGAGTGAACCTGCGGGGAAGATGAAGCGGAAATCAGAAAACAATGGCAAGCAATTACGTAACGTAACTGCTGTCATGTGCCTGCTGGTTTTTGATAAATCCCATTACGTGAATGGTAAATTTTACTATACATGTAGTTAATTATGAAAGTTAATAGTTCAATGTTTATTGTGACGTACTTCAGGTACACGTTCACTGAATGATTTATTTATGCTTATAAGTTGCCTTTCCGGTGTGAAAACAGGTTTACAAAACCCATTGAAGAAGTAGTCACTTTCACTATAAAAGTTGTGAATCACATTATGTGTTTTGTAAAATTCAGTGTGAAATTTTATTGGTGGTGAAAAGTAAGTTACTCATCCTCCAAAAATATGTTGCAAAACCTATTAACAAAGTGGTCACTTTTACTACAAAAGTTGTAAATCCCAGTATATGTTTTGTAAAATTCAACATGAAATTTTATTGGTTTTTAGAAACAAGTTGCCCATCCCCTGAAAACTAGTTGCAAAAGCCATTTAAGAAGTGGTCATTTTCACTATAAAGGTTGTAAATATCACTGTGTGTTTTATAAAATTCAGCGTGAAATTTTATTGATTTTTAGAAACAAGTTGCTTATCCCCTGAAAAGAGGTTGCAAAACTCATTTAAGAAGTGGTAATTTTCACTACAAAAGTTGTAAATATCACTCTATGTTTTGTAAAATTCAGCATGGAATTTTATTGGTTTTTAGAAACAAGTTGTCAATCCCTTGAAAACATGTTACAAAACCCATTGAAGAAGTGATCATTTTCACTACGAAAGTTGTAAATCTCACTATGTGTTTTGTCAAATTTAGTATGAAATTTTATTAGTTTTTAGAAACAAGCTGCCCATCTCCTGAAAACAAGTTACAAAACCCATTGAATAAGTGGTCATTTTTACTACGGAAGTTGTAAATCCCACTATATGTTTTGTCAAATTTAGCGTGAAATTTTATTAGTTTTTACAAACAAGTTGTTTATCTCCTGAAAACAGGTTGCAAAACCCATTAACAAAGTAGTCACTTTCACTACAAAAATTGTAAATCACAATATGTATTTTGTAAAATTCATAATTAACTACATGTATAGTAAAATTTACCATTCACGTAATGGGATTTACCAAAAACCAACAGGCATATGACAGTAGTTACGTTACGTAATTGCTTGCCATTGTTTTCTAATTTCCGCTTCATCTTCCCCGCAGGTTCACTCCTTCTCTCACTACAAATCCTCTTTCCCACAACCAAAACCCACCAAATCAACAATCTCTACAGAATGTGATGCGAAGGAGTAAGATAATAGCATTTCCAACATTCTTCTTTCCTTCTTCCCGCATTTCATCAGCGTCGGTCTTCCTCTCTCCTTTCTCTCACTGCGTCGGTCTTCTTCTCTCCTTTCTCTCACTTTCAGCGTCGGTCTTCCTGCATTTTATCAGGGCATTTTGGTCTTTTGGCCGAAAATATGAATTCCAGATTGGTGCCCAGTGCCCTATTTGTCATTTTGCTTATTCAGGTGCCTTATTTGTCTTTTTGGAATTCAAGTAGTATTTTATTGTCATTTTTCCTAAATAGTAACTATATAGCCCAACCCGGACCCTGGACGCCCCATGCCAATCAATCTCAAACCTTTTCTGCGTCTCAACGGTAACGAGCTCATGAGGCCTTCCAAAAGAGTAATGCTACTCACTGTCTCAAATGCCGACATTCCTTTTATTTCTTGTGATGTGGTTGAAGCAATTTTACCTAGGCTAGACGCTCAAATCCTATTTCAATGTGCTCAAACTCTATTATGATCTCCTTTTGTTTGCAAAGATTGGAATGAGTTTGTCACCACAAATCAAGTCCTTCTTGTTAAAGTTTGTAACTTCAAAATTCACTGCATAGTGATAACGATCAATTTGATCTACTTTGCACCATGGAGAGTCCTACCACCGATGATTTTAAAGGCACATAAGTTATAGGTGCAAGCAATAAGTTGGAATGTTTTGTCAGAAGATGACCTTTCAAATTCATTTTTTGGAGCCCAATTATTTGAAAATATGTATGTCTTCCCCTCATGATGACTTGGCATAAAAATTTTGCAGTGTAGGATTTGGTTTTGATCGTAGTAGCAATAATTTTAAGATTGTAAACTTTGTTTTTTGTACTCTTGGTGATTAGATTGACTCGTTTTAGAATTTTTCATGTGTCGGATGGTCCTGGAAACGTCTCAAACATAGCATCTCTCCTTCATGTGAGGTTCATAGCAAGTCTGTATGCTTCAATGGTGTGCATCATTGAATTGACAGCTTTAAGCAAGAATATGATTTATACTTGCATTTGATTTGAAACATGAAGTGTTTGGATACATATCCCTTTCAGAGACTCTTGGCACATATTTTTGTGAACAGGTATCCTTTGCAGGCTTTTGGCACATGTCCTTGTGGTATAACTTACATTATGACAACATGAGAGTCACTTGCTGTGGTCCAATTAAAGGAGTTCATTGTTTTAATAATCCATTAGGAATCCACTTGTTTCATTCTTTTAGGCAAGAGGTTGGCGTCAGATTTTCAATCAAACGGGTTTTCCTGGCCCTCATGAAGAGGTACGCTATCACTGCCCCTTTGCTATGGTTGTGACGTGCCAATACTTGAAAATCATTGATGAGACTTGTCCCCTAGAGAGTGCTTGGGAAGTTGTAAAAACTTGTTTAATGTCACATTTCAATTCTTTATCCAACAAATATAGAGATATATTTACCTTGGGATATGAGACAGTTTCGCCTTAGGCACTATGCACTATGTTTAACTCAATATAATTCTTTTATAATGCAGTTCAAAATGGCTCAAGAACACTTCAAACCTGGCGAAGGCGGAGTTCTTGTTGATGTTAACTGTGGAAGTGGTTTGTTTTCCCCGAAAATTCGCCAAATCTGGAGTTTATTCTGGTGTCATTGCTCTAGATTTTTCTGAAAATATGCTTCATGAGTGTTACAATTTCGTAAAGCAAGACAATATTTCAACCAAGTATGGTTTTCCTTTTTTTCCTCAGCTTGAATTTAAATTCAATGTAACTAAACATCAGAAATCCAATGTTTTTAACCCTTATTCTTTTGGTGTATGCTTGTATAAGTAATCCAGTTTTGTTTGATTGTTGGCAGTAATCTTGGTCTGGTAAGGGCAGATGTTTCTAGGCTTCCTTTCTCATCCGGTTCAGTTGATGCCGTTCATGCCGGTGCAGCCATGCATTGTTGGGTTTCTCCCTCCATTGCTATAAGTGCCATATTTGTGGGCATGATGAAAATGACATGTTCACCATTGCCCAAGGTACTAAAATACAGACTGGTCATGGAACTGGTTAAAATATTAATTCAAGAGTCATTAGT